CGCCCCGCCCGCTCTACCACCAGCAATTAGAATGACGGAGTGCCCTCGCCTCGCGCACCCGCGGCACCGCGCCCGCTCGCTTTGGCGCCGGTCCCGCCGCGGGCTCTGCGCGGGTCCTCTAGGCGCCCGGCGCCCCTCCTGTCAATCATGAAGCTCCCTGGAAGGGAAATCTAAACCAAACACTCCGACGCGACCGGAGTGGGTATTGCGCCCCGTATTGTGTTCACATCAGGGGCCCCCGTCCGCGGAGGCGTGTTTCTCGGAAAATGGTCCGCGTCGGCCGTCATGAGCGCTCCTCGAGTCGTCGCCGTGCCTCTCTGCGCTTCGACGGGCCGACTCGAAAATACATAAACATGTACATAAATACATCATCGCGGCTGACAGGGACTGCGAAGCCCCGCGCGCCGCCCCGGTCGCCGAGCGCGCGCGCGCGCGCATACCTCAGTGATACTGTAGCATACATTTATTTAATTTCCATTTAATTTATCAAAACGCACATCAGCCAGGAGGACGCGAGACGTATGGAGGCATCATTTCTTTTTCGGCCATGTAGCCGCAGCAGCCGCATCTCCTGACCCCACTAACCTCCCCTTGTTCCCGGGCATGAGAGGTCCGGCAGGACCACAGCGAGGAGCCCGGCTCCCATGGGCGCCGCGCACGGTATGGGCCACGAGGGCCGCGAGCACGCAACGCAATGATCTGGCGCTGGCTTTGGTGCTGCGGGACCCTGCGGTCGCAGCGGCCGGGCCCGCGTCTCACTCGCACTCTCGGACTATGACTATGCTTCTTCCTCGTATTGGATCGGTTCATCATTTTATTTATTTTAACTGGGTACTTTTGGTGGCTGGGGCCGGCCGGCCGGCCGGCCCGCCTGCCTTGTACCACCGCCTCCGAACTGAATACAACCTCAACTGCTCTTTCTAACGTCTCGTTCTCTTGTTGTTGCAGCAGAAGATCTCCTTCTGGTTCGCCACGGGAGGCGCCGGCTTCTGTCTGAGCCGGGCGCTCGCCCTCAAGATGCTGCCAGTCGCAGGGTGAGTACACTGAGAGTTATTTTCGACATCAGTTTTAATTCTCATGAGCACACATTGAAAAGGACATGGGCACAGTTAGTACCGCTGTCAACAAAAAAACTGGCGACTGTGATTCATTTTAAGTAACTGCCCCACTACAGTGCAGTATAGTGGTACTGCTCTACTGTTGGATCCTTAGAGTTCGAACATGCGTCACAAACAAAAGCATCTCACGTATGTGTAAAGGTGCGCTTGTGACTCCTTTCCTCCCACAGTGTAGTGGTGACAAGTCCTTACATAACTGCGCTGGAGGGGTCCTTGGTGGCTGAGCGCGCGCCCGAAGGAATCCCCTAATGAGCACGGACCGGCCAAAAATCAAGAATGGGGCATCGAAGCCTGGCCAGGCCGGGCGGCGCGGGGCGGGGCGGACGCGGCGGACGACGCCGCAGACGCATTTTGGAAGAATTTTAGTTGGGTCTGTCGTCGTCCGGCCGCAGTCGTTGTCGGTGCGCTCTGCGCAGCTCTGCGCCGGCCCGGCCGAGTATTCCCTGATTGGAAGCAGATTCCAACTGGCCATGCCAATTTATATGTGCGCCAGAGTGGATTTGTCATCCGGCGGTTTGGGGGGGGGGGGGGGCGCACGAGCAGCCGAATTCGTTCCCACCGACCTCATGCTCATTTAATACACATTCACACATACTCAAAAACTCGCTGCCTGTGGGTTTTGGTTTTGAAACAAAAAACAACAGCATTCTATTGTTGCTTTCGTTATTTTGTGTGTCTAGTACTTTTTTGCCCAGTCTAATAACAGTCCACCCGTCTCTCGTGTTCCAGGGGCGGCAAGTTCATCAGCATCGGCGAGAAGATTCGGCTCCCGGATGACGTCACGATGGGATACGTTATTGGTAAGAAAAGTGAGAGGGTCCTTTGGTAGTCGTGGTCATGTACGCTCAGGGCTTAAGGCCTCAAACGGATCACCTAGAAAGTAAAGCCCTCATTCTCCGTCACGAAACTTCCCGAGTTCAGCAGCTTATGGAAGCTCTGCAAGCGCCTGATGGGTAGGCAACATTTTGCCTGCGGTGCATGCATGCACTGCGGGGTGGCCTACCCCGAGTCTCGCAGGCGCTGAGCTTCCGTAAATGGTCAAATGAATCTGAGAAACAAACGGGCGTATTTTCTGGGCGAGGCAGGGTAGCGTTTTTAAGTCCATGTGGGGTGTTAGGGTTTTATTTTTTTCCGCTGTATGGCTCTCCAAAGAGTTAGAGATTTGGCGCGAAGCATGCGGAGCGTAGAGAGAGGGCCGCGCCGAGCGTGAGCTCCAGCCCAGCCTCCCAGCCTGCCGGTCTAATTGAAAGGAGTGAATGCCTGCCCCGGCCCAGCGTGTCCAGGGCCCTGCCGGCTGCCCGAGCGGGTACCTCGTCGGGTCGGGTACCCTACGCGTTAACAATCGGTAGTCCTTATTTTTTATCGGGCGCGCGCTGGCAGGCGGCCCCGGCCCGGCCCGGCGGGGGGTTCATGTCTGTGTGCGTGTGAGAGAGAAGGAGAGGGAGGTTGGGGGCGGGGGAGGGGGTCCCAGGGAGGGCAGCTCGGGGGTACCTTGAGGTACCTTGAGGTAGGGTGTCATGCTGCCCGGGTCGAGAGGTTCAACCGTCGGGGTCGGACTGACGCACGCTGGCTGTGTAACGCGTGATCGATCGTGGAGGGCCTCGTGGGAAGAGGGGTGCCGTCTGCGCCCGTCCCCGTCCAGTCGAAACGGCAATGGTCGAAGGCATAGTGTTTAGTGTTGTTACAAGTAAAACTACTAGACGGTCGGGGGCATTCGAACCCGCGCCGCCCCGGTCCTCCCTTTGGTGGTCTGCGCCGCGCCGCGTGGCGACGGGGAACGCCCCACGCTCGTATTTCACGACATTCTTAATTGGAACGGGCGGCGCGGCGCGGCGCGGCGTCCTGTCCCCCGGGCTGTCCCGCAGTGTCCTGCTGGTCCTGCCGGCGGTTCGTTTGGACGCCGGCGGTCTGGTCTGGAGCGGCCCACTGCGAGAGAAAGGGTACCCCCCCCGCTCCTCCTCCTTTCAGCGGAGACTCCGCAATCGAACATAAACCGTGGGCTTTACTCAACAGAAAGGCGACTTTTAATATCCCGCATGGCTTGAATTATTTTTTTTTATGTATTTTCTCCCCCCACCTTTTGCTCTCCAACTGATGTCGACCCGTTTCTCATGGGGCCCAACGTTGGTTAATGAAGGCAAAGCTGATGCGATTAGAAAAATGGGGTATAGAGGGTGGGGTGCGCGGGGGGAATTCTGCTTTGTCTCGCTCTGCAGGTTCCCCGTGGGCTCCCGAGCCGGCCGGCGGGACATTTGAGTTTTATAATCTGGGGTCGCTTAGCTCCGCTTGATGGGCTTGATGTGGTGCGGTCCGGTTTCTGCCTTGGCTTTTATTCTTCTCGTTGAAATTCGGACGGGCCATGCTAAGTGATTTGTCGTCCTGTGTGTCGCAGAGCACCTGCTGCGGAAGCCGCTGACCGTCATCGACCAGTTCCACTCGCACTTTGAGCCCATGAAGTTCATCCGTCAGGAGACGATGCACGAGCAGGTGAGCGATGTAACCGCGAGAATGTTTGGAGCAATCGTTGTTGTGATTTGAGCTTCAACTAACGTGGGGTTTCATTCTGCAGATCACGTTCAGCTACTCTCGGTACAGCAAGCACGAGGTGAATGTACTCAAGATCGACGGCTTCGACTCCAGGCTTGACCCTACCAGATTCCTGTCACTCCACTGCCTGCTCTTCTCTTACCTGAGCTTTTGCCCGAGGTGACCAAACTGAAGACATTGGTTTGGCAGCCGCCAATCAATCTCTGGACTCTAGTCGGATCAGCGTCAGTATTCTGATAAAGTAGCGTGCTGCAGTGCTGGGCAGAACAAACAAAACATGAATGTGCTCGAGAAAGCCACATACATTTTTAAAATGTAAAGGCACAGGAAAGGATCTTCAATGTCACCTTAAACTTTACATGCTCGAGTACAAATTCGTTTTACACATTTGAAGAAATGTATCTCTTTTAAATTTTGGTCTTCCTGAAATTTTTTGAGCAGTTTATTTTAATTGGCTTAAATTTTGAGTTGCTCTGTAAAACCATAATGAATTTTTAAAGACCCATGGAAATTTATGTTTTCAGTATTGAAAGGAAATGGACTCAGAAGGAGCTTTAGTCAATCTGGGGAAGCCTAGTCATTAAGCGGCAGGCAAACAGGGGGGTAGGATTTTTGCTGTGATCGTCATCAGTCTTCCTTGTATTTTATTAATACATGTTGATGTAAATTAATTATCTACATCCAAGTTTTGAAGATGTGCTTTGCCTTGTAGGCATTTTAGTCAGGAATTTCATATTTATTTGATATTCAGATGGAGGAACTTCCCCTCTTTATGGTGCTCAGTATATTTAAGTTGAATGAAGCTGGGTACTGCAATGGGCCCTGTTTATGTTTAGTGTATATATATAAAGAAAAATTGAATGAATTAATTTAGTTTACAAAATTTTGATCAAGTAAAACACAACTGTGTTTCCAGTTACCATCTCCTTTAACCCACAAACTCATTGAATTGAATGATAAAACTGTATTTTGTGGAAATTTTGATTTAATAATGATTCAATAATAAAATTATTGATCGGGGGAGGATGTATATCTGCTTAAGTGTCCAGGCAGCAAAGCTCAAAATCTTTGAAATGATCTTCTGTGTTATTGTGAGATAGATTTTTTATATGTGCCATACAAATAAGCTATGTTCTAAGGATCTCTAATTGTAATGTACATAATTGTGTACAGAAATTTATAATTGTAGAAATTGTACATAATCTAAATTGTAGTATTGTTGTATTTGTTAAATCTTCAAAAATATAGGTACTTAAAAATAATTCCTGTTGTAATTTATTATTATGTATTGCTTGATGGAGTATATTTTTGATTTGTTTCATCCGGTTTCACCCTGAAGACAGTACCCACATACTTACATACCCACCCATAGTATAGTACTCATAGTCACTAACAGGGAAATTGATTTTTTTTAAATTGATACTTCTTATTTCATTTTTTTATTTATTACAAAACAACTTCATGTTGATAAACTTAAGGACACAGTCCACAGCCAAGTTCATTTGTGCACTATTATACTACCAAACTGTTTACCAAGTTGTCTTCAGCTTGATAACAGCACTGTAGCATTTAAATGTGTAATTAGTAATTCATCTTTTTTCTTATAGGTCAGTGATGTCAATACGGGGAACGTCCAGAAGGACCCCTCACCGGAAGGACCCCCCTAATATTTTTA